TGATGAGACATGATCTCTGTGTAAAGCCCCGCCCACACTCCCTGCAAACGTAGGGCTTCTCCCCCGTGTGTGTCCTCTGGTGTGTAATAAGGACTGACTTATGACCGAACTCTCTCCTCAAGTCCTTGCAAACAGAGGGCTTCTCCTCTTTGTGTGTTCTCTGGTGTCTGCTGAGATGTGACCTATCATTGAAGCCTTGCCCACAGCCTCTATATTTGACTCTTATAATTCTTGACATTCCTACCCCCATGAATAATTTTCCTGTCTCCTCTGGATTCAATTTCTGGCCTGTGCTGGGCTCTTCCTCCACCATTCCCTCACACACTGCAGAACTCCCCGTTTGTCCTTTGGATGGGGTGGAAAAGGCCCTTGAAATTCTTCTCTGCCTTACACTTTTAAGCAAAGGTTTGAAACTTTCTTTGACCTCTTGGCCTTTAGCTTTGTCACTCCAGCTCTGCGGATCAGAATATTGCTGCCGCTGCTGATTCTGATCGCCTGGGCAGGGATCCTCTGGTTGGAAATATTCTCTTGCGGATATTTGTGGGAAGATCTGAGAAGGATGATTGCGTTCCAAATGTTGGCTGAGGAATTTCTGACTGGAGAAGGCCAGAGAGCAGGAAGGACATGGATGTATCTCTGGCTTTGGTTCTGCTGAAAGAGGAAATTTTTGGTCAGGAAGATGTTGACACAACTCCCTGTGTTGTATGCATTGTCTCCTGGTGAGGCCGCCCCAGTACTCATTTTTATTGTTTTGACAGTGCAAACTCTGTCTCCCGCCGAGTGTTCCTTCACTTTTCCATTCCATTTTTACTCACTACATCTCCCTCATAAATCCAGAAAGCCCGTATCAAGGGCCTTTTCTATGTATCGCCCAGACTAGGTAACTTCAAGTGGCATCTGAGGCAGCTCCCCTCCTTATACAGATGGAAGGACAGTGACCTTTCCCCACATACAAGTGCCTTCTAAGTCGTATGACTCTGTGACAGTGTCTTTAGTGATTTGCTTCCTTTGAGAGGCTACAACTCTCTTGATGACTTGGATGGAATGTGTGAGTAAACATGAACCTGAGTCTCCCCGTTTAAAAAGACATATTTAACTGAGGACCAATATGTGTCTGGATCTCTATTAGAAAGTGGGACCTAGATTGGACGACACAGGGGCGCACGTCTCCTGGACTAAAGAGCTCTGGTTCCTGCTGCCCTAACTAGGTTATAAATTGCTTCTCTTTTAGTTTTCCACAAATCATAACATAAACATATGCCCTTCGTACTGTGTTTATATCATTCAGTCTTAGGCCATTTCCAATACAATAGGAAGTCCTGTTGCAAAATATTTTCCCAACCAATTATGGGGATACATATCACACCCCCAGTTGCCATCCATCTTCTGCCAATATGCTGTCTTCTTTCACTTAGAGATGATGTAATCTTGGAGGGGATTTCCCACTGTAGTCTTTCTCCAAAATTAACCAAAGCATCATCTTAAAACAGAGAACATGTCACTCTCCAGTTGAAAACTGCCCAGTTGTTCCATCTCAGTCAGGAAAACCCCCAGGGTGTCAGCGTGGACCACAGGCTCTAGGGCGTCTACGTATCTGTCTGACTTCCATTCTTACACTCTATGCTTCCTCCATCCGAGTGGGTTCTCAGCCACACACCACTCACACCTCTCTTGTGCCTCGGGGCAATTGTCCTCGCGGGTCCCCTCTGCCTGGAATCCTTTGCTCACAGGTGTTTGCTCATCTCAGATGTTATCTCCTGAGAGAGCCCTTCCTTGTCCAAGCTCTGTTGCACCCCACCTTTCCCTCACATTGGTCCCCAGACACTTTCTGAGGACTAGTTTTACTTTCAAAGCACTAATTGCTGTGTGATGTTACGCACACACATTCATATGTATGTGTGTGTTTCCCTCATTCATTCAGTCATCAGCTGCTGAAGAGCAGTGATTCTGAAAATCTTGTTCAGTCTGTACCTCTAGTTCCTGGACGCCTGTCTGGCACAGAGTAGGAACTCACATGACAGCTAACTGAATTATGAGTGAATACACACCAACATACACATATCACTTAGAAATATTGAGCAAATTAAGAAGAAAGAGCTAAAAGGGCAGAAGAAACTGCCTTGGTGAGAGGGCTGGTAGGTGATTGAAAACTTGTTTTTTGCCTCTAATTTTTTTATCAGTATATTCTGTGATATATTTTGTGCATGAAGTATTTAAGAAATCGGAACAAAAATTAAAAATTTAAAAATTGTTCCCAAGAGTCCAATGCATTTGAAATGAATCCTTATTTCTGAAACTTCTGAATTGCAATTGTACTGACTTTAGACAGGATTTTACTCTACTTAAGAGTTGGACTGTGAGGGGCGTCTGGGTGGCTCAGTCGTTAAGCGTCTGCCTTTGGCTCAAGTCATGATCCCAGGGTCCTGCGATGGAGCCCTGCATCCGGCTCCCTGCTCAGCAGGAAGCCTGCTTCTCCCTCTCCCACTCCCCCTGCTTGTGTTCCCTCTCTCGCTGTGTCTCTCTCTGTCAAATAAATAAATAAAATCTTAACAACAACAACAACAACAAAAAAGAGCTGGACTCTGGAAACTGCCAAGGAGAATTCTTCCTTTCCTTTCTGTTTTGAAGAGCAGTGGTGCCCACCTTTCCCTGCCGTGAGCTCGCTCTTCCACTTGCTTCCCCACTTGATGCCCAGCTCCTGGCCGTACTCGTCCCCATACCAGACCAGCAATTCGCAGCCTGGCCTGATGACCCGGCAGGTTCGGTAGAAGATCTGCCTATGATATTGAAAGGCCACCAGGTTCTGCTCCTCGTCATCCCTGGCACAGTTCACGTACCTGGGAAAGAGAACCGCAGGAGATAAGTTCCCACTACCTGTCAGATCCACCCCTGATGCTGAAGGCCTCCATGCTGTGATGCTGCCCACTCACCCACTCCTCCTCAGGAACGCTCAGTTCATACTCAAGCCTCCATCACGATATCATATGAATTCCCATCTCCAACTTCTGCTTACTGCCCTCAGCCTGCCTAGAAGGCTTTCCCCCTTACCTGCGTAACCATTTTCCAAATCCTAATTCCAGACTCACCGCCACCTTGATTGGTCACAAAACCCAGTGACATCTAGTTTCTCTAAACTTCAAATTAAGTTTATACCATAGAACTTGGTGCTTGATACCATAGAACTTGGTGTTTGATCATGGGCTCTGCTTCTAGATCACTACACATCATTCCATACTCAGCCCAAATCTATCTTCCTTTGAGAGGCCTTTCTCCAATCTCCCCACACTGTATCTGAAGCATGCCTCCCCCAAGTTCCCACAGAACCTCGGAGCTCTGTCTTTGCACAATAACACAGAAAAACAATATTTTACTCACATAATTCATCCCCTGGGAACATGTGAGCCCCTCAAGGAAAGGGGCTGGATCAGGAAGCACAGAGGCCTGTGGCCATGCTGCAGCCCATTTCTACACAGGCTTCCGAACCAGTTCTACTAGAACTGAGGCTAGGAAGAGCTGTTGCCCTCATGGATTAAAGGTCCCTTGTTTTAGGTTACCCCTACACTGTATACCTCTTGAAAAATAGGGAAATTATAGTTAAATATTCCTATAATCAATTGTCTACTGTCTACCTGCAATATGTCTTCGATAGGACATGGGTTGTATAATATGTTTAAGTAATGAACTCCACTATGGAACATAGTAAGTGCTTATGAATATTGATTAGATAAATTAAAGTGTGAATCCAGTGTTCCTCATGAGTCTAGGCTCCTCAGGGTTTTTTTCAGTGTCCAAATTTTATCTAGCATATTTTGAGGACATATACTATGTTCTCAGCTCCTTTTTTCCAAAACCATCTCTTGAAATGAAAGAGCATTGTAAGGAGAAAAAAGAGGAACAGAGGATTGAGGGAGACCATTGAGGGAGGCATGACAAGAAGGAAAGGAACATGGGTTTGTGAGAGATGAATGTCCTCTTTGGAACCCAGAACCCTGTTGGCCTTACCTCATCCAGTTGGCCCAAGAGTTATCCTTTCCATCCACATACTCATAGCAATTTCTCCCTTTGGTGATCTGAGTTTGAGAAAGAGAAATTAAAGACGTTTTGTTTTGTTTTGTTTTGGTGGGGAGGTAATAGAGGGATTATTTTACTCTCTTGTGGTCAATGCTCTTTCAGCATGCATGGAATCAATCCCCAATATGACCACATGATGTGCTCCTTAGTCATCATCTATACATCTGGGTCACTTCATCAATGCAGAGCAGGGGTCCCGCAAGGGGGGAGCCTCCTGTTTGTTTCTGTATCACTGTGCTCCCTCTTACCCTCTGATCTTTAAGTAGGAGCCGCAGGTTCATGCAAAGTCCACTCAGTACACACAGCTAACCATGTTATCCCCATCCACGTAGAAGGTGATGTCCTACCAATCCACAGGAGGGATGTGGGAAGCCAGAAGATGGGGGAAGAAGTAGATGATTCTCACCAACCAGGAGTATCCGCTGTTGGCTGCCTCTTCATCTTCTGTGATTTGGCCCTCATACGGGCCAAAGTGTAGACCCAATGGCAGATCAGATGCTTCGTTCCATACTCCAAGCCCAGCCTGAGGGATGCTTGATGGTCTGATTCTCAGACCAGGGGGCAGAGTGAGGGCTGAGCGGTTGGGTTGCCCCTTGTCCACTGCACTGTCCTTTACAAATGTAGGGGGCCCATGAACAGCACAGCTGTCAATGAAGAAGTTCTGACACTTCTCACAATCTGGAGGTGAGAGCAACAGGGATTAGGAAAGGGTTAGTGCATGTTCCTGGACTTAAGTAGTTTCAGAAAGAGCCCAACACTCACATCATTTAGCCTCTACCCTGTACTCCCAGTCACTAGAGGAAGGGGATGATTTGGGGACCCAAAGACAAGACAAAGTTACTGTACCAGGAGAGAACAACTTCCTTTGAGAGTGGGCCAAGATGGTCACTTACAGAGGTAGTCATCATCCTGGGGCTCGTTGACCTCTTGGTATGCAAGGCTCTTTCTTTCTCGTAGACTATACATCTTTACTTCAACGTCCTTTCTCCTGAGTTCTGAGTTGGAAAAGAGTATATGAGTGAGGTTGGTGGGGTCTGAAGTGTTAGTCCCTGTTTTGTCAGAAAATGTGAAATCTTCTCCGATAAATTATTACCTGTCCTTCTATATACTCTGTTCTCTGCTGTCCCCAAACTATTCAGAGAGTAAGACTCCATACTGACTATAGATGGCTAATTCAATTTTAGTTTCTTCCCATTATCAGGTTAATCTTTGCAATCTTTCCTCTTAGAAAATGATTCATTCATGAATTTCTTCATTCAGAAAATATTTGTTGAAGGCACATGATATGTCAGGCATTGAACAATCAAGGGCCTGGGCATTCAACACCAAGAAAGTATGGTCTTTATTATCACCGAGGGATTTATAGGACAACTTGCATGGGTCAATTATTTTATGTTTAATTTAATGCTTTCAAACAATATATGACCCATGCATCCTTATCTTCATTTTTCAGATTAGCATTCAGGAGCTCAGAGAATTTCTAAGATTTGTCCAAGGCCTCAATGCTAACTACAGGTCTCAGGTTAGTCTAGCTTAAACCCAGGCCTAGCCAAAGTCCGTCCCACATACCTACATTGTATTCATCAACCTTTCTGGAGGAATTAGAGGGACTAAAAGTCCCCATATTATTTTTTCTTACCCAATTTTTGTAGGGAGTGATGTCCAGAGGTACTTTCTTCTCCAGGAGGGGACACTGGTTTCTGGCCCTGCTCTGAGCCACTTGTGTTCAGCAACTTTGCTGTTTCTGATAATTCCTTCAAACTAGATTCATTACTTAATGGCGCCCTGGGTATTCCCTTCAATGTGAGAGTCATATATTAAAAGACAACATGCATTTCTTCAGTCCTTTAAGGCTTATGATGTGTTTTCACATGCATAACTTTAGTTACTACTTCAACAACCCTTGGGAATACCTGGGGAGTCTGAATACTAGAGGGAAAAGAAAGGGCATATGTGGGTATTGAATTCAAGATGAGAACCCATGGCTTTAAATTTCTCAAATTTCTCCATAAAAGCGAGAGTGAGGGAGGGAGATTACTTGGGAATCAGTAAGGTCTGTGAAAGAAGGTGATGAGGGCTCATAGAGGAAAAGAGGGGATCTTCTATAAACTAGTGGACATTTGATGGAGGAGGAAATGCAGGCAAATGGAGGGGACAGCACACATCTGGAAAATGAGGTGACAGAGTGGAGAGAGGGGGAAGAAAGCAAAGAAAGGGTTGGCAGAAATATATCTAAACACTGAAAAAAAAAAAAAAGGATGCTAAATTTGCCATTGCCATATCCAAGAAAGAATATTTGGAATTAGATTAGCTGGTTCCTGTCAATTTGTTTGAATTAGGTTGTACCCCAACTAGCTCTCTTCAGTTTCCTGATCCATAAATTGGTCTATGTACTAATTCTTAATGTTATAGAGAACAGAAAATATCATAATGATCATCAAATTGTTTGGTGAGCTATTTGATATAGTATGAATATGAGATTACAGACCCATTATCAATTTACCCTCTCAATTGTCCCCATGTTCAAAATCTAAATCACAGATATTATTTTTAGCATTCCTTGACCTTCTTACTTCTAATTTAATTGTAAATGTGGAATTACTCATGCAGAAAACATTGAGGGGCCCTCTGGTGCCTTAAGCTGGGCCTGGGACTTCTGAGAAGAAAGAGCTTGCGGTGCAGAGACAGTCTACACAAATGATTCTGAACAAAATGAGAGTTGCCTAATGAGAGCTCAGAGGAAGGAGTTGTTGCTTCCTCCTACAAGTATGAACATTTTAAATCAGTTCCAGATACCTATCTGGAGTTTCTAATGAATATTATGTAACCTATATGAAATCTTAAAGTCATTTTATTAGTTGTTTGTCAATCATCAAACCTGAAACTACTCAGGGCTGGGAGATGCTTCCTCTTATTAGAGTGGGAGACTCTCAGGGTGGGGAGCCTATCTCCTTCATCTGGGATCATCCAGTGTATAAATTGCTAGTATATTTGTAAGCTTCTCTTATTTAGAGGGTCTTAGCTCATCTCTCACTTGAGCATAATAGAAAAGAACCGAGGCTGGAATCATCAAATGAATGATGTAAATTTTATAAAACTCTGAAAGTTTTAATGAGCTTGTAAGTGGTTTGGAGAAGGAGCTTGGGATTAGATTGCACTACCAATGGTACTGTGATCTCAGGTATATAATCAAACATGTCTTTGTCTCAATTTCCTCAGCTATAAATAGTGATATTTATAGTACCCACCTCATAGGGTTGTTGTAAGGTTTAAGTAAGTTTATTCATGTAAATGCTTAAAATAAAGTCTGAAGTACAGTGAAAATAAAACAAGTGGTAGCTAATATTGTTGCTGTTCTTAATAGCTATTAAAGTGATGATGATATTGGATATTGTGCTAAAGAGATCAGGAAAGGAAGGCATCAGCTCCTACTCTTACCTGTGTTTAAATCCATGAGAAAGATTTTCTTATCAACAGGTTTTGGGAAATACTCACCTTCTGGTGTTTATTCTGCTCCATTCTGAATGCCACCCAAGAAGGTCTGACTATAAAGTGATAAGAAATCAGTGTTTTGGTTGGTAAATATTTCCAAACTCCAGAGGCTCTCACTAGAGACACAGAGTTCTTAACAAGGGAGTGACAAGTACATGGATAATCAAAGGGTGATTGGAAAATGGTTTCTGAAGTTATCATCAAAGCCTATGCTGCTACTGGTGGCATGAATTAATTGACCTAAAATGTTAAAAAAAAAATAGACAAAACCTCATTTATGCTTCATCCTATGCTCATAAGTTATCATTACACATATTAAAACATATGCCATGAACTTCTATGGCAAAAATACTCAACAAACTGAGAATAGAAAGAAATTACCTCACCATAATAAAGAAGTCTATTTCCCACATCGCACTCTGCAGTTAAAAACTGAAAGCTTGGGGCGCCTGGGTGGCTCAGTTGGTTAAGCCACTGCCTTCGGCTCGGGTCATGATCCCAGGGTCCTGGGATCGAGTCCCACATCGGGCTCCCTGCTCGGC